TTGAATAAAACTTCTAGCGCCGCCTAGGCACCGAGGACGTAAGCACATTGCCGAATCTCGTAAAATTCTCGTGTTCTTTTGTTTTCTTTACCCGTTTTCGTCAACAAAGCTGTCACCAAGATCATCGTAAGCCAAATCAAACTATATCTGCCGAGATGGGTCTCTGAAAATCAAACAAGTTTTGTTCCAGTTAGAGCAATAATCGATAACATTATCATTACCCAGGACGAATCCACACCATGCGGCATAAATTTGAGAAAAAAAGATGGATGGCAATTAAGATCGACTTAGAAAAAGCCACGATAGGTTGGAATGGGGATTCATCGACGACACATTAGCAGAAATTAACATTCCTAGCTCCTTGCGCAAATTAATTATGCAATGTGTCTTTACAGTTTTGACAAAGATCCTATGAAATGGCTCATCTACCGACCCATTCCATCCTTTGAGAGGTATACGTCAAGGCGATCCTCTATCGCCATATTTGTTCGTACTTTGCATGGATTCAATAGCCCAAACCATCCAAATTGAAGCTGACAAAGGACACTGGAAGCCATTCCAAACATCGAAAAGAAGCCCTGGGATCTCGCACCTATTTTTTTGACGACGATATGATACTGTTCGCCGAAGCAACAATGGATCAACTCTCGGTAATTCAATCAGTTCTTAATTCCTTTTGAGTCACTTCAGGCCACAAAATCAACCTAGCAAAAACAACCATTTACTTCTCAAGGAATGTACCGGATTTAAACCGAGAACAAATAAGCAGGGAATTCGGCTTCAGAAAAGTCAAAGACATGGGTAAGTATTAAGGAGTCCCTTGATACACAAAAGGATTACCTCAGCATCATATGGCTTGGTGAATATGGTTCAAAACAAGCTAAACGGATAGGCGGCCAAAAGCCTAACACTGGCAGGAAGACTAACCCTCGCAAAAGCATTATTATTCGCTATTCCAAGTTACACCATGCAAACGGCATTTGCTACCAAAAAAAACATTCTGATGCTGGAACGTCTAATTACAAGCTTTATTTGGGGTTCATCACCAGATCGAAAAGGTCTTCACTTGGATAGTTGGAAGGATTTATGCTCACCATCTTTGCAAGGAGGTATGGGATTCAGAAACTTAAATACCCAGAATGAAGCTTTTATTATGAAGATCGCCTTTAACCTTGTTGCTAGAAAGGAAACCCTCAGGGTTAAATTTCTTAGAGCAAAATATAAGTGCAGTGAGATTCTACCAACAGCAATCAATAACCTGAAACTACTCCAGCTTGTGGAGGGGAATTTGCTTAGTGTGGAATGAAGTCCGAGACAGCATAATCTGAAACGTAGGCAACGGGGAAACAACAGACTTTTGGCATGACAAATGGATCGACGGAATCGATCCACTTATCTCGTACGTCCCTGCACGGGCAATCCCGAACATAACACTAACCCCAATTGCGAAAATGGTTGACAGTGCAAGAAATTGGGCTTGGTCAAAATTCCAACATCTTATTCCAGTACATATACTACTTAGAATTGCTGCAACAAAAGAACCAACAAGGTCACTTGAGGAGGATTCAGCTGGTTGGAAGAGCAATTCAAACCACCTATTCACCATTAAATCGGCATACAATATACGTAATGGACCATCAGTTGATGTTAAGGGAACCTTATGGAAAACCATTCATAGATTCAAAGGCTTACAAAGAATTAGGATCTTCATTTGGCTTACGTGCAATAACAAAATCATGACAAATGCTGAAAGAGCACGCCGGCATTTCTCAACGGACGATAGATGCTCCCTATACACAGACTCTCCAGAAGATATTAACCATATACTGCGTTGGTGTCCCCAAGCTTTAACTGTCTGGTCAATAACCATTAAACCAGAAAAGATGGATGAATTCATAAACATGGAGTTTATAATTGGAACCAGGAGAACCTTTCCGGGTCAAATGCTTTTCCAAAAGTGCCAAAAGATTGGGATATCCTATTCGGCTCCATCCTGTGGAACCTCTGGTTAGAGAGGAATGCAGCTACCTTCGAAACAACCATTGAAGATTATGGTCCAATCCTGGAAAGAAGCCGAAATCTACTGGTGATTTGCACCAACAGAGACGGGGCTCTAACGGGTAACCCTTCAAGAGATCTTAATATATTGCCTCAGAATCAAGTTAACTGGACACGACCTCCGCCCGGATGGCACAGAATCAACTCAGACGCTAGCAGAAACCCAGCAAACGGGGAATCGACTTGAGGAGGAATAGTAAGGAAGCATGCAGGCCAATGGATCATGGGATTTTCCAAATTTATCGGCATATGCTCGATACTTGAAGCAGAGCTCTGGGGAGCGTACGTGGGCATGAGAATTGCATGGGAGCTGGGACTAACAAATATAGAGGTCGAATTGGATAACATGGATGCCATACGCCTACTGAAAGCAAAACCAGATCAGCAAGGAAAGCTTGCCATTTTGTCCCACATCAGGAAACTGGAAAAGTAGGACTGGAATGTCCAGTACAAACACATAATGAGAAGCGACAATCGTGTAGCCGACTGTCTAGCCAAACACGCAAATTTGATAGACCTAGAAATCCATCGTCTACAAACTCCACCAGAGGAAGTATTGGATCTGCTCCATGCAGATGAAACCATAATTTAATCTAGTTTAAGCGTTTTTCTATTATTTACCAAAAAAAAAATCAATCCAATAATTATATATATAGTTATAAAATAAATATAAAAAGAAATTTAAATTAATTTAAAATTATGGAAAATTTTAAACTTTTAAATTTTAAATTTTATATCAACTATAATTCCTAAATTGATTTAAATGTTCTCATACTCCCTAATTAAATCTAGTTTTATGTCCTCGCCAAACCACTTTTTATTTTTAGGTTTATATACATATATTATACAGAGTTGAAGAATTAATCTATTAATCTAATATTTAGATAAATACTTCACATGATAATTAAAAAATTATGTAATTATAATATATTTGATCTCTATTATTTATAAATTTTAATAACTCAGTTATATTTTAATTTATAAATTTGATTAACTCAGTTATATTTTAATTTAATTTAATATATTTAACTTTCTTTTTCTATAGGAGGTAGGAAAAGAATCGACTTGAGGAATTAAACCTTGGAATGTAGGCTGCAGGGGATTAACGTACCATAACCACTACATCAAATCTCATATTTTTTTTTAATAAAAGTTGCTAGTTTTATTAAAAAATAAAAATATCTAAAATTACAATAATAATTTACAACTATCATTGTAAACTAAATACGTAATTTGTACATTTTCTTATATCATTGAAACTAATTATTTTAGATCATATAATATAACGACCAAACATGGAAAATATTAAAAACACAACCAAAAGACTCGAATAAAAATAGATATAAAAAATCTGACTGCACCGACAAACGAATCACAAAAGAGGATTAAGTTATTGAAAGATCACCGATAACCGCAAATCAGAGCCAAGTTTCGTGAGAAACTATTCACAAACGCAAAATCACGTATTCAAATTCAATCTAAGGATTCATAACATGGAAGATCAATAGAATTATAAATAAGCACCATTTTGATATATAATTTATAACAATTTTATATATCATATATATATATATATATTATGAAAAGGGTGATATTACTATCTGCCTCGTTAAAAAATTTCATACATCTAATTAGAGTAAAATAGTACACATGATAATAACACAAATACAACAATAACTATTCAAAACAAAAATAAACAAACAAAGCCAAGCACAGCCAGCTTCCCACAATAAACCAACTTCAACACCAAGCATTAACCAATATCCTCATGCAGCACGTTAATGATATCAACAGGGAGAGAATAAAGCATTTTAGTTTCAGCTATATCAGGACCTGCACTTCTCGCTAACCTGTCAGCAACACAATTCCCTTATCGCAAAACATGCTGGAATCGGACCTCCCAATGACGATCAATTAAACCATAAATATGGTCCACACTAATTAACGACCTACTTCTCGTTTGATGATCACAAATTAAGCGTATAGCGTTTAAGCTATCCGTCTCGGCAATCACTTTTCGCATACCCATATTCCAGGTGCAGTGGAGACCGACGTAAACTCCTCAGAGCTCCGCCTTCGGAACCGATCAAATACCAAGAAATTTCTTAAATCCCATCATCCATACTCCCTCATGATCCCGAACAACACCCCCACAAGAAGCCATGCCAGGTACTCTCCCTTCTTGATCCGTCTGTGTTAACCTTAACCCACTATTCTGGAGTAGAAGTACACTTAAACTACTCAAATAAATCTAGGGGTAATTGATTTATAATTGAATATATTTTATACTTTTAAAATTGTAATTGGTGCAAGATTTAAAATAAAAATAAAATTCAGATTTTGATATTTTAAAGTTAAATATAATATTTTTACCTCTATTTTTCTAATTTCATATATGCAATCATCGAATTGAATCATTTTAACTCAATTAATAGTTTTGAAATTTTTATTTAAAATATAATATATGACTCATTTATATTTTGATTATTTTTATTTGATTATGTAGTTTAGAATGTGTAATTTAATTTAACATTAACCTGATTAAAATCGTTTGTAGGTAAATATAAAATATTAATTATCAAAGAATCATTTAATGATAAAAAAATTATAAGATTTGAATTATAAAATTATCTTGATTTGAGTTGTACTTGGTAGTTTGATTTTCTAAATAATTATTTAATCAGGTTATATCCGATTGAACATAATAAAATATTCAAAAAAATTAAACATAATAAAATTATCTTATATCCGAGTGAATAAAGGTTATATATATATTATATCCGAGTTGAATCACTAATATTACCATAAAAGGATATCTAAAAAATTAAAGAAATTTTTATGAATTCCTTAAGAAAACATGAAATTATAATTTAGTTCGACGTTAAAAATATACTTTTAACCCCCGAGAAATATATAATTTCATTCTAACCCTTAAAAAAATTCTAATGAGATGGCAATGGCCGAATGCTTTGTTCATTCTTGAAGAAATTATCAGGGTCTGCCATGGCTTTCACACGTGCCAATCTCATGAAGTTTTTCTTGAAATATTTTGTCCCATAAACCCTCGCAACAGAGAAATCTGTGTCATTGCTTCCATTGCTGCCAATATCAAGGTCTCTATAGTTAACAAACGCCTCCCTAGGGTTACTCGACGCATACGAAGCCATTGTACGATACAATCTCCTCGACATCCTGACATGCTTCTCGGCGGCACCGATGCCGCCGTCGGAATCCGTCCAATGAATTGTATATTGTGTCTTGAAAAGGTATCCGGCTCGTTGCGGATACGCGGTTTCGGACTCCGGAATCTCCTCCATCCTTCCTCCATGAGGGTTTAGTTGCATGAAAACATTTCCTATTTCCATCAATAACTCCCATAACATCTCAAGCCCTTGTTTGGGAATCACCTTTTTGTAGTAATCTGATTTTGTCTTGAAGAAAACTTTGTTACCTTGGACTCGTTGAAGCAATGTGTCAATGGAGGTTCCGTTGGGGTAACCAGCCCAAAAGAGAGTCGATTCGGCCCAACTCATCTCCTTGCAATCACTTAGATTCAAACCCAGTTCTCGAAATTTCGAGTTCGACTCCTGAACAAGTCTATGAGCTCGACCGAGAAACTGGCCGATGAAAGAAACCCTAATAGTTTTATTGCCATTGGTAGCATCGGTTATTGGTTCAAGTTGAAGCCTGATAAAGAGATGCTTAGGCATTTTAGGTGCAATCTGTTGCCAACGATAAGCGAGGTCCGTGGCACCTTGGTCCAATGTCCTTTGCACGTTGAAAACAGTAACCTTACGAGGGACACGAACCAGCTTGATCTTCCATGAAAGGATGATACCAAAGCTAGTTCCACCTCCTCCTCGGATAGCCCAAAACACATCTTCTCCCATCGATTTTCGATTTCGGATCATACCATTAGCATCGATCAAATGCGCGTCGACGACGTTATCAATCGAGAGGCCGTATTTCCTCATCATGTTTCCATAGCCACCTCCACTGAAATGCCCACCGATGCCGAGAGTAGTACAAACTCCGGACGGGAACCCATGGACTCCACTTTTCTCCGCTATCCGATAATAAAGCTCCCCCGTCGTAGCCCCGGCCTGAACCCATGCCGTCTCGGTTGCGACATCAACCTTTATCGACCGGAGATTAAACAGATCGAGAATGAAAAACGGGACGTCGGAGGTGTACGACAACCCTTCGTAATCATGACCCCCGCTCCGGATTCTCAATTGGAGTTTGTGGTGCTTGGCGCAAACGACGGCGGCTTGAGCATGGGATGCATGTAGAGCTGTTATAATAGCCAAAGGCTTCGATGTTGAAGGAGAAGATAAGATTCTTAGGTTAACAGCATGTAACTCATACAAATGTTGAAAGGAGGCATTGTGGGCAGTGTGTATGGCATTTGCAATTGGATATGAAGGGTTGGAATGTAGGGGAAGGCATTGGAGAAATTCATCAAGACATGAACGTTGTGATGTTACCAATGAAATTGATAACAAAAGGATCAATAATTTACAACTTGAACCTTTCATTTCTTTTGCCCAAACAATTAATTTTCAGATTTATTGTAATTGGGTTATGCACTTGTTCGTTTGGTCCAATTATATATAGATAGATTAGTCGCCTAGAGGATCAAAGTTCCAAGTCAAGCCAACTAGAATGCTACGAAATTTTTGTCCATGGCATCTCAACTTTTTACGTTAAAAAAATATTCCCCTACAACAAATGGATTTATATCATCTTCATTTGTTATGTATAAATGCGAATAAATCATCACAAACAATAAAAAAAATAAAGAAACATAGTTTAATCCGTACCCATTTAAGTTGAAATTTATTATTTTCCGTCAATCAAACTAATATTGCACATAATATTTGGATGTGGATGATCAGTAGGGTTTGTAGATGTTAAGCTCGGCGGCGGCTGCCGGAAACATTAAGGTTTAATTAGGTTAATTGTTGGATCATGTGTACTTGGGTCGGGCAGGTTGAGTAAACAAGTAGTTGGGTATACAATCGGGTTTGGGGCTTTAAATGTGTAGTGGGTTTTTTTAGGGTATTCAACAAAAATAACGATTCAAAACGGTATATAAAAAATACACTAATATTTTTTTAACTATTTTTTTATACTTTTTAAGTATATTTTTTGTCTCGATTAAATTGTTACGGTTAATCTTTCTTTACTGATTTAAGTATTTTAATTAATTAAATTTTATAAATAGAACATATTTGAATTTATTACATTTAAATAATAATGTAAATAAATATTGTTTTCGACGAATTGTTTATATAACGTTTGTTTATGTTTATTTGTTGAACCAACTAAATGAGCATGGACAAATATTTTAAGTTCATTTAACAAATGTACGAACAAAATAAAGGTGTGCTAGGCCTTTTTATACTCACTAACAAGCTTATTTATTGGTCGTTTATCCAGTTTTATTTTTTATTTTTTCTTTTATCACATTTTAATTATTAGTGAATGTAGATACTAAATTGGATCTACAAAACTCACGTAATAATGCATTGAAAATAAAAAAATCACCAAATATTGTTCTCGAAGAATTAATTGTTGAAATGGGGCGATTGCTACAGTGATCTTGTAGGTCTCCAGGTGGTCCAAATGACCAATTCAGGTCGTCATGGAAGTCGTGCGACCTTGTATGTCGCCATGCAGGGAGTTCGAACTCCTCCTCTTTATGTTTTGCTAACACGCGTTAATTTATTATATTACTATGGTGGGGTTAGAATTAGGCAATGTGTGATGTAGTGGGCATGAGGTTTTGTATTTTTTTAACATTATGTTATTTTCAGTTTTGATTTTCAAGCATCAGTTTTCCTACACTAAGTGCTTTATCATCAACCAAAAACTTTCCATTTGTCCAACTACAATTCCATGTAATTTGAATAATTTAATAATAGTTTATCTGCCTAAAAATAATAAAATTCCATGTAATATAATAATATAAGTAACTATTGATTTTATGAACCCTAAATTCTAAACCCTAAATCCTAAAATATTTTGGTTATTGATGAAAATCCTAAACCTTAAACCATAAATCTTAAACCTTAAACCCTAACCATTCTCCCTCAAATCAATTTCTTCTTATAAAAAACAAATATGTAACCACCATAATGGTAGATATCACCATCCTCTACCCCTTTTATTGCCCTGAACATACCATGAATTTATAAAGGTTTTCAGTAATAACCAAAATATTTTAGGGTTTAGGGTTTATAAAATCAATGGTTAAGGTTTAGGTTTTAGGATTATAGTTTAGGGTTTAGGGTTTAGTGTTTTTGGTTTAGGATTTTCATCAACAACCAAAATATGTAACCACCATCACGGTAGATATCACCATTCTCTACCCCTTTCATTGCCCTCAACATACCATGAATTATAAAGGTTTCAGTAACGACCAAAATATTTTAGGGTTTAAGGTTTAGGGTTGTTACTAAAAACCTTTATAATTCATGGTATGTTGAGGGCAATGAAAGAGATAGAGGATGGTGATACCTACTATGATGGTGGTTATATATTTTGGTTGTTGAAAATCTTAAACCTTAAACCCTAAACCCTTAAACTATAATCCTAAACCCTAAACCCTAATTATTGATTTTATAAACCCTAAACCCTAAAATATTTTGGTTGTTATTGAAAACCTTTATAAATTCATGGTATGTTGAGGGCAATGAAAGGGGTAGAAGATGATGATATCTACCATGATGGTGGTTACATATTTGTTTTTTTATAAGAAGAAATTGATTGGAGGGATAATGGTTAGGGTTTAAGATTTAGGGTTTAGAATTTTCATTAATAACTAAAATATTTTAGGGTTTGGGGTTTAAGGTTCATAAAATCAATAGTTACTTATATTATTTGTTGTATATTGTGTTTTAATAATATATTTCTATATATATATATATGGAATTTTATTATTTTTAGGTAAATAAACTATTATTAAATTATTCAAATTACATGGAATTGTAGTTGGACAAATGGAAAGTTTTTGGTTTATGATAAAGAACTTTGTGGAGGAAAACTGATGCTTGAAAATCAAAACTGAAAACAACTTAATGTTAAAAAAATACAAAACCTCATGCTCACTGTAACACCCCCAACCCGTACCCGACCCGGATACGAGTCTGAGGTGTCACATTGACTCTTCAAACTTTAACTCTTGACAAAATTCAAAGAAAATTTAAAACTTTCATTAAAGTAAAAGCGGTTTAGGTACCTAAATTGACCACAATAACCAAAATCAATCAGATCATATTTAACTCAATCAATTAGTACATGCTAACTATATTCAAAATAACCAAAGTCATTTAAATCCTCTATTTTCTGATCTGAAATTTTGGTAAGGGAGATGCTGACCTGTCTTGCTCCTCTTAACTTTTCTTCTAGCTTTCAGGAACCTACATGTGAAACATTCACACGCTAAGTCGATGACTTAGTGAGGGATAAATAAACTGATTATAGTATATCATAACTAATTCCTATTATACACATTTTATGTAATCAAGATAAACTATAAGATGCTTCCAAACATAAACGCATATATATACATATTGTTTCACAAGAAACACACACATATCATCATGTAATTTTGATAATATATTTCCTAACACAAAGCATATAAAACGTATGTAATACATTTATCATTATCTCTTTAATAGTCTTATTTTTGTTCTTTATCTTTTAGTCATATGTTCTTGTACCTATTATTCTTAACCAAGATATATACACATCAACATCATATCACATATATCATTTCTCATCATAAAGATTACATACAAAGTACATAATATCATACAAGGTTCTTTTATATCATCTTCTTTATTAGCCCATGTACACATGTGAGAACTACAGATATGTGAGTCTATAGAGGTTGTGCACTAATGATGGCACCACAACTCGTATAAATGCACCGAGTGCCACGTAGAATTGCACCTAAGTGCCGCGTAGAAATGGACCGAAGTGCCATATAAGATGTCTCTAAGGACCACGTAGAGAATTCATTTAGATCCATACACATAATCCAAGAACCAAGTATGTGTCTCAAAAGACCTCATAGATGTTCCAAAGACCTCATAGATATATATATGTCCCGAAGGACCGCGTAGACCCTCGACTCTTGGCATGCCAATTATACCCCTAGCTCTCATGACACATAACATGGGCATTATCATTTATGTCATTTCACATGTTCACATATTCATATTACCTAGGCACGTAGTCTCATAGTTTTTTTTCACATAGCTCATTATCATATTTTCATATAATCACATAGTCACGTAGTTCACTTATATGTAGATCATTTCCATATAATTCACATGTCACATATCTCATGTTCTTGTATTCATGTAACATATAATCACATAGATTACTTTCACATCTCATAGTTCATAGTCATGATTTCATATATTTACCTAATTACAAAGCTAATTCACATATACATGTTCTCATATAATTTCTATCATTTCTCACAAAATCACATTTATTATGTAACATTTATGGTCACCTATCATATAACCTATTTCACATTCCCATGAAATCATATAGATCATTTCTTTTAATTCCTATAACTTATCACACTACATGCATTCACATAAATCATTTAATACATACTATAATATATATCACATATACCCAAATCAAACATATGCATATGATCATACATTCATGCCTTTTAATATAGGAAATAGACTTGTCGCAAGTCTTATTTCCATTAAACATCATAAAATAACTTGTATGCACTCACCTGGTCTCACTAGTCAATTTCAATTTCTTATCTTTCCCCTTGATCAATCTTACTTGTCAATGATTCCGGAACTTGATTAGGCTCTGAATCTAAATAATTATACATTGATACATATCAGTATCCCATTGATATACTCTAATCTATAATTTCTTAGACCAAACAAAATGTCTATTTCAATTTCCCCTTGAAGTGCATCGATGCATTCTACAGTGCATCGATGCATTCTTTAGCATGTGCATCGATGCACCCCTTAAAATGGAAACATCGAATGCAAGTGGTACATCAATGCATAATGAGTGTTTTGATGCATCCCCTTAAAATGAAAACATCGAAGGTAATTTCCCCCAACCCATACCCAACCTGAATATGAGTCCGAGGTGTCACATTGACCGTTCAAAACTTTTACTTTGACAAAATCTAATGAAATTCAGTTAGACATTTCCTATAAAATCCAAATAATTTCTATTGTAGAAACGTATGGTTTTACAAATTGGTTAGAGCGTATCCAGTACAAATCTTTTATCTTACATGCCAACTACATTTCATATGACAAAATACACATAATTTAAACATATTTCTAATCTGAATTGTGAAAATGAGAATCTGACCTATCTTGCTCCTCTTAACCTTTCTTCTAGCTTTCAGGAACCTACGTGTGAAACATTCACATGCTAAGGCGATGACTTAGTGAGGCATAAATAAACTGATTACAGTATATCATAACTAATTCCTATTATACACATTTTATGTAATCAGGATAAACTATAA